AACAACAACAAGGAGCTCACCGTTGTCAGGTAGGCACACTCAAGCAGTTCTGCTCATATAATAGCTTCATTTGCTTAATTAAATTCGTGTTTGCTCCCACACATTACAGAGGCGAAATTCTCGAAATTCTGGACGACTCTCGGAAGTGGTGGAAGGCACGCAACTCTCGCGGACAGGTTGCCCACGTGCCGCACACTATCGTCGGAGAAATGGACGGCGGTGGAGGAGGAGTGGGAGGAGGAGTTGCTGGTGCTGGTGGAGTGATGGTGGGCGCAACAGCGGCCATTCCTGCGGCAGGAAGTGACGGAAGCGACGGTTGGAGCGTTCGAGAGAGGCAAGGTAAAAAGGGATTTCGGTACTTCTAAGTGGCTTGCTTTGTCGCCGCAGCCACCGACACTGCTTCAGCTGATATAAAGAATCGTCGCCGAAAGAAAACTGCTTTGCTTCTGCTTGAGCTTCTGCTTCCACTGCTGCTGCTGCTGCTGTTGCTGTTTCAACACTTGTTTCACCAGGCCACTTCTGCCCTTCTTGCTCTGCTTATCATATTTATTTTTTCTCATTTTTGTTTCTCTTTGAATTCGACATTCCCCTATCTATCTATTTATCTAGCTAATCTATCCTATTTATTCTTGCCCCTCATCAATCTGGTGACTGTGTGCGTATGTGTATTTCAGTGTGTGAGCCCCAGTCCAACTCAGCCAACAATTTATTTCCGCTTCTTTTTCTGACGCTCAAACCTCTCGTTTCACCTTCCGTAAATGTACTTTTTTGCATTTTTATGTGCACTTTTTACTCTTTTCACCTTCCCCCTCCACTATCTACCTTATGATGTTTCAAACCATTCCTCATATTCTCGTATTCTGATGTGTCTGTGTGCGTGTATGTTTTGCTTTTGTACCGTTCTTTTTTCTTCTCTGTCTTCAACTTCATTTTCATTTATACTTCTTTCTTCTTTTTTTATTTAATTTTTATACTTTTACACACTTTTTATAATAAACTTTTTTGCTTGTGTAGAAAAAATTGAAAAGTTTCATCGTCTGTAACTTTTCACTTTGCCGCTTTGTTCTTTGTTTTTGTTCCATTGCTGTGTGCTTTTGCTGCTTAGTGGCAGCAGTAGTGGCTTGAGTAACTTAATCACGCACTTGAATATTCAGTGCCGCCTACTCTGTCTGCTCGTTTGATGGATGAACTCCGGTGCTCTTGATCTGGTGCTCTCCTGTTGCAACCAGACAGGCTATTAATAGCCAGTTTGTTCTTGTTTGTTTTAAAATTAAAATTCCGTTTCATCTCATGTTGTTTTTTACTTTTCAGCCGAATTGACAGCGGAACTGCATCAGCATCAGCTGCAGCAGCAGTTGCAGCAGCAGCAAAATGGCCTGCACTTGCAGCAGATCACCGTTGCCGACAGTGGCAGTAGAAGTGGCAGTCAGTCAGCGGAAGAGGCAGTGGTCGTGCAGCCAGCAGTCGTTCACCCTGCACCAGCCCCAGCCCCAGTTCCTTCTCAAATGATCATGGTGACGGCGGCGGCTGCAGCGGCGGAAGCTCATCACCTTCAGCACCAGCACCAGAACCAGCACCAGCAACACAATCCGCCAGTGAGCCGAGAGCAAGGAGCCACCACCAGCAGCAGTTCAGCGTCAAATGAGCATCAGCACCACTTGAAGAACAGCTTCGAAAGGGAGCTGACTGCGACGGTGAAGCTGACGGTGGTGGAGCGGCAGGTTTCCTCCAACACGCAACGATCCAAAACTAAGGGTACACTCTTTCTTTTTTGTGCTTTTTTATGTTTCTATTTTTGTTTCTCTGTTGGATCCGTTTGGGTTTCTGTAATNTTCCTCCAACACGCAACGATCCAAAACTAAGGGTACACTCTTTCTTTTTTTTGTGTTTTTTTATGTTTCTATTTTTGTTTCTCTGTTGGATCCGTTTGGGTTTCTGTAAAGTGTCTGCAACTGAATCGCTGTTCTTGTTTGCATCTTTTTTGTTGCACCGTCCCCCCTCTCTGTTTTGTCTTTCAACTTTTTCTTGCAAACCACTCTTTTTTCTTTTTTTGCCCACAATTCTCGCTAATTCTTTTGAGCTCACTGTCGTTGCCCCGTCGTCTCAGATAACTTCATGGCCCGTTTTTCCGAGCTAAGCGAAGACAGCTTCTCCAGTGCCGATCTGCTGCACCTGCTGCGGCACAAGGACTTTCCCCCGAATTTGATCGCCGCCATTGAGAGCATCTGCCAAGCAGACAGTGCTTTTCCAAAGAAGGTGCTCAACGCCTGCAAGGACTCAAAAAAATCGCTCAGAGTAGGCTCTGACTTTTATTACTTTGATTCACAATTGTAATTGCAACTGTTTTATCTCAACTCAATTAGAACCTGATTCCAGTTGAGGTGGCTGATGAAATGTACATCCAGCGACTGTACAGCAATTTGCTGATTGTGAAGAACACGGTAAGCAAAAATGCACCAGAAATTCGTTAAATTGATATCATCAAACAAACTCCTTTTCTCTTGTATTCTTTTCAGATGAAATCGCCCGGCATAGATAGTGAGCTGAAAAATGCGCTCAGCCGAAGACAAGAGGCAATAGCTACTAATGGTTAACAAAGTGGTAGACAAAATGGTGCCTAAAAGAGGAAGAGAAGGTTTGCTGGAAAGGATTCTCCTATTTGTCTCATAAAACAAACAGTAGCATCTCTGCAGAAACAAAAAAATGCAACCGTACAGGTGCTCTCCTAGTCGGCGGTAATAAAGATAAGGTAGAAAATTGGTCGTAAAAGTAGTAGAGATGTAAATGGATTGCTTGTAGTTGTGCTTTGTCCGAGATCAGGCTTTAAAAACTGTTAATGCAACAAAACTCCCCTCTACAAAAAAAGTTGTCAGTCGTTGAGGGTGAGCTTCTGCTCGGTCTGCCTGAGCAGGTCATCGGCGTTGTACTGATGATGCTGCAAACCGGTACTGCTGTCCACGTGGGGCGTTGTGCTGCCTGAACGGGTCGTCGAGGTGGCCCGACTGGAGGAGCCGGTGTACTTCTCATCGAAAATGCGCACCTGTCCGCCGCCCGCCTTGTGCGTCACATTGTCCAGCGAACCCACCTTGCTCTTTCCCTTCCACTCCAGTTTCTGAGTGCTGACGCGCACCTTGCCTCCGTCTACAAAAAAAAGTAAATATGAGCAGCGTAAGTTGGTGTGCAAAAGAAGGAAAGAATGAATGAAACGGTGTTTTCTTACGTGGTTTGTGGCTGGCATTCTCAAGTGAACCGATTCGCGAGTTGGTGTTCCAGGTTAACTTTTGCGATTCAATCTTCTTGTCGCCGCCAGCTAAATGAAACAAATAGAATAAAAAAAAGAGTAAATGGTTATAATTGAGTGATGATGATGATGAAGAGTGTGTGCGGAAATGAGGTTAATTGGATCAGGCACTGCACTGTGTGTGCTTGTGTGCTGGTGTATAAGTAATTCGGTGCACTAAACGAACCTGGCTTGTGTTTCACATTGTTCAGCGATCCAATTTTAGACTTAACGTTTTTCAAATCGGGCCCCTTGGCTAGGCCGACCGGAACCTTGCTCACGGGCACTGTTTCTGAAAGGGTGAATTGAGGAGTGTTTAGAAATAAAACTTAATCAACGTAATGTGTGTGCATGAGAATGCTCACTTTTTGTGCCCGAATCAGAGCTGTGATTTCCGTCGGTGGGGTTGTTGTTGTTGTTGTTGTTAATATTGTGGGCGGTGCTGGCGGGTTTTCTAATGATTTTGTTGTTGTTGTTGTTTGAGCTGTTCGGGTTCACCGGACTGGACATTGCACTTGGTTTTGGTGGTGTCGACACGCTTGCCAACTACTAGCGCTAGTAGAAAAGAGGTTGAAGATTAAAAATGGTACTGCTCCACCAGCAAAAGATAGCCCACACTGGTTTGGGTGATTTGTTTACAAACAAAAAGTGAAAACAGTTGCTGTGTTGATGCTGCTGTAACTGCCTAACTTTGCTGCTGTAGTTTGTTGTAGAATCTTCAGTTTGGATTTTACGCTATCTCCAAAGTAGTAATCAGCCAAAACTGGATGATAGGCTGATTAGCAAGCACAGGTTAATTGTTGTGGTCAGTTGTGTATGTCAGCCAACAGCAACGAGATGAGAGATGATCCTCGTGACGTTGGCATCGCAACCACAGCAGTTTCTCTTACTCTGCAGCAGTACGTGTATGTGTGTGTGCATTACATAAGCCAATCCTCAATTTTATTGATCGGGTAGTGAGAGTGTTGACGCGGGAGCGAAGGGAATCCTCGCCCTGTTGTGGATCCCTTTCTCCCCCATTCTCCCGTTTGGATCACTGTGCTCTCTCACTGGCAGGTCCTGCGCAAAGGCGCCCGTATTTGCAGTAGAGCCTTTGCCGCACATTGCTTCCAAAAGTAATAGTCGATCCACTGCTGTTGGTCTACCCTCCCGCTGTGCTCCTCTATTTCTCTTTTCTTTTTCCCGGCTGATTGGATCCCATGGGAGCTAAAACGAAGAGAAAAACAGTAGAGCGCTTTTCCATCACAAACAAACGCTCTCCGGTTCATCACAAAAGTAAAAAATAAAAAATGTTTAATAACAAAATTGTAAAAATTAAAAATTAAAAACTTGAAAAGTTTTAAAAATGAAAAAAATGTTAACAAGCAATCACAAAAACTTTGAATACAAAAGTTGTGATTGCTGTTCTAAGCAATTGGAGAGGTGTGGGTGAGAGAGGAGAGGGGTGGAAAATGAGTAAAAAATTAACCCGAAAGAGGGGGCACCTCCTTCCTTCCTCTTCCCTGTCCTGAGGTGGCCACTGTGGGCGCTGCCTCCTCCGCCGCCTGCTCACTGCGGAACGAGGCTGTTGATGCGCACCTGGAGAGTCTTCATCTCCGCGGCCATCTGCTCGTCCGACTTGGTAGTCACCATCTGCTGGAGGCCCTTGAGGATGACCTCCTTCGCCTCGACGTACTTCTTCGCCTTGATCAGCAGGTAGGCGAGGGTGAGGTAGCCGTCGAGAAAAGCGGCATTGGCGGCGATCGACTCGCGCAGCTTCGCCTCCGCCTCCGCCCAGTTCACGGTGGGCGGCAGATGGGGCAGGTGGGCCTTGATGGCAGCTTTCTCCTCCTCGGTGAGCGAGCTCAGCGCCAGCTGGAAGCGGCCCTCCATGAACAGCACCATCGGGTCCTTCGGGCTGAGGCGAATGCAGACGGCGAGGGCGCGCAGGAAGGTCACCGTGTACCTGAGAGACAGAGATAGAAGTGAGTGACAGAAAAAAGAAGTGGTTTTCTGTGCCACGTTATCACCTCAACTAAGGACACGTTGCACATCTTTTTCCCATCCCTCCTCTCCCCCAACTTACTTGATCTTCTCCTGGACGGTGCAGCCGAGGAGGGCCAGCTTGCCGGCGGCCATCGCCTGCCAGAGGTGGCCGCGGAAGTTGTTGGCGTCCATGGCGACCACTTTCTCGGCGAGGGCCAGCGCCTCGGCGGTCTTTCCCTTCACCGCCGCCGGGTCAGTCTGGTTAAGGCCTAGGGAGTAGGTGGCCTGGGCGAGGCGCGAGAGAATCTCCACGTTCTCCGGCGACTCCTTGGCCGCGTGGGCCATCTGCTCGTGCAGCTTCTCGTAGGCGGCAGCCGAAGAGTTGACTGTGGCACTGGGGATGCCGGCGTTGCTGGCGGGAGTCTTGGCGGCTAGGGCGGCCATCTCGGCGTCCCAGCCGACCAGGTCGATCATCGACTTGCCAAGGGCCGGTGGTGGCGGTTGCGATGGCTGCGGCTGGCCACTGGGGCAGGCGCTGGGGCAGCTCGACTTGCCGTCCGACTTGCAGTTGTTGTTGCCGTTTGGAGGAGTGGCCATTGCTGTAGCTTCAGTGGTTTTGCTGTTGCAAAGAGGTTGCGCAAAAAACTGGACAAGAGTTGACAAAGAGCTGGCAAAGGGTTGCAAAAACTTGGTAGCACAAAAACTGGAGATTGCAGAAAGGCAAAGCAAATCAAACTACTCAATAATCAGCAATTGTGAGCCTGACTAGTGCTGGTTTTCGCTTTTTATGCAGTGCCCTTGAAATTCGATATTGGCTTGACAGTGATGATTCACCTGTATTTAAAATTTTGAATTTTTTAACAACGTGTACAAATTTTGGTTGAACATTGTTGAAACATTGGCTGACGTGTATCAAAGTACCGTTGTTAATGTCGTTGATTAACAAGAAAAGAATCTAGAAGTTTTTAAAAGATAACCGATTTTGAGCATACTTTCAATCTAATGTAAAAGATGGCGCATCAGACGTTATGAAAGGAGATATTTTTTTATTGAACTTAAAAAAAGAAAATCTCAGCGCATCACAAAATCAGTTGGTTCTGCTTGCATTTTTTGTCTGCATCACATTAGATTTGGTAGTAAGTTTGATAGAGTGTTTGCAACACAAATTTAATGCAAAAATGACTTTATCAAAACTACAAAGTTGCAAAGTAAACTACAGGTTGCTGACTAAACATACTCAACCTTTTAGAAAGTTCTCTGATTAATGAAACCAATTCAGAAAGATTACTACTGCAAGTGCCACTAAATCGACGTTGTGTTGCTTGTGTGAAATTGTCGTATGTGCTCAGGCCGGGGCAAGAAAAAGAGCGATGATAAATGATTGTTTGTCAATTCGTGGGCACCTTCGCCGAAGTGCGCTAACTAAATATAGACTTTGATAGAAATGCTGCTGTTGCTGCTGTTGTGCACTGCACTGCAATTGATACGCGGAAAAGAAATGAAAAGACAAGCAAAGGTGAAGCTTCTGCTGCTGCTCATTGAAAGATCATATTTCATTTCTTTCCTGTCCAAAAGTGGACTTCTCAGCTGTGTGACTATCAGTGCGCGCGCTAATTTGGTCGATTGACCGAAGTATCACCGCAAAACATAGCACTGCTGTCAAACGGACACTGCAGCAGGCACAGAAAACTATATTTAATAGACTGCCGTCAAAAAGTTTAAGAAAGAACTGGGGCTCTATTAGCTTTTCCCCCGTTCACAGGCAGCACAGTTTTGAGTGACCCGAGAGTGTTCAAGTTTTGATGATGATCATCATCACCACTACCATCATCAATCGTTGACATTAGTAGGTGGTTTTGTCACCTCTCTTATTCCCCTTTCAAAAAACTTTTCTTTCCAAAACAGGAAAGACTCACACACTCACACAGGCACACACACAAAGAGCAGTTATGATTTCTCAATCGATATTTGATTCGACCTGCCGGACAGCTAATCGCTCTATCAATTTGTAGTGTAGTGTTCCTTCTTCAGCGGTGGTAGCAAAGGAGAGGAAAAGAGGTGAAGGAGGGGAAGAAAGAGAGAACAGGAGAACAACAAAGAGCTTTGCGGCTGTTACTACACCCGTTACGGGACAAACATCGTCTATCAAAACTGTTGACTCGATCGGGTCCCCGTCGTCAATGGAAGTGGTGGCACTACCGATACAGTTACCGTTTTCCCTCTACTACGACGTCACTTGTCACTACTACCGAGACTTTCTAGCTCAGGCCACTCACCTCTCCCTTTTTTCTGCATCCTGAAATACAGTAAAAAACTTATGAATCAGTGGCACAATCCTTGCTTTGGCAACGTAATCGTGCACACGAGCAAGCACAATCGCTGCTGCTCGTAGACAGACGGTGCAAGGGTCAGCGTCTTGGGAGAGGAGAAGGAAGAGAGAAGGAGAGTCATTGCCGAGGACTCCCATGACGGTCAGTCACAGGTCAGTCAGAGAGTCAGCCATTGTGAGGTCAGCGGCCAGTGTCTGTGTGTGCAGAGTGGACAAACATAACCAAATGCTGTCATCATCAGCGGCAAATGTCACTGTTCAGTGATGTAGCTAATTTGTGTCCGCGTGTGTGTGTGTGTGCCTGAGTATTGCCAGTACAACAATGATAATCTCATTTAAAAGTAGTGTGCTGCTTGGGTGCGCTGCCTGCCTGTCTGTCTGCCTGCTCTCATGCCGCCTAAACAATCATAAAAGGGCCCTAATTGGCTCTCACCGTTGTTTGTTCCTAACTCTTTCCACTCGGTGGCTGGAAGATGATGAAGAGGAGAGGGGAAAAGGGAAACATGAAGTTTGTGTGTGTGCTGGACACATTGGACAATGGTCACACAGAGTGGACAGTGTTCTCACTGTGGCCAATGACTCTGTCTCTAAATCTCAGGTCAGCAACTTTTTGTTGTAGCATATGTCAACATTTGCTGCCCGCCAGGCCATCACCATCACCGGCCACTGATCGTCGTCGTCGATGATCTAATTCGGGAAGGACAACTACAATCAGTGGACAAGTCAATCAAATGGCCGAGTGGCCATATGGACGTTTCCACGCTTGTAACTACTCTTGATGACTTTGTCTCTCCTCTTCACATTTGGCCGACAAACATGAACACACTGCCCCTGACAAACTCTCTCTCTTTTTCTTTCTCAATTTGGCCGGTAAACGCTGCCACTCGCACACTAATCCACTTAACTGCTGTTTGTTCCGGAAGAGCACACAAAGAGAGGATGACTTCGAAACTTATGTTGTTGAGAGAGGCAAAAAAGTTGATGTTGTTGCTGAAAACCGACACACACACTAGCACACGTAATATTAATTTAGAGGCAAACAGACAGAG